ACCAGCGGCACTAGGAGGATGCTGCATCCACCCCAGATTTCACTGCTGCTCCACTCCCAGCACTGCCACCACCAGCCACCCAGCGCAGCCCTGGCTCACTGCTCTGCCTCCACCCACACCTGGGGAAGAGCTTGGGCTGCACCAAGTGGAGTGGTGGTGGAATTTGGGGTGGATGCAGCATCCTTCCAGCATCACTGGTGTCCACTCCAAGCCCAGCCCCCACCAAGAAAAGCCTCACACAGCCCTAGATGCAGCCTGCCCTGCCCCACGCAGATCTGGGGGGCACTTGCCCCCCACCGTGCCCTCCTGGGGTGCAAGCAGCAGTGGGAGCCACCCCCCTCCCCGCACAAGCTGCAGCTCCAGCCTCCCCCCCAACCTGGGCAGCACCTGCCCCTGCCCCCTCCTTCACCATGGGGGGCGTTGATCTACCCACCCCTCCATGCCCCTTCCTTCCCCACTCTCCTTCCATCACACGGGACTTACCAGCTGGAGGCAGATCTCCATGATGCTGGCTGTGCTCCTCAAGAAATAAGTAAATAAATGAGATTTATTAGAAGATCATAGAACCTGCCACCTTAACTATCTTCTTCACAGTGCCAGTCTGGGTATCTGTTTTGAGAAAAAAAATTATTCTTCCTGTGTGTCTTTTTTTCGACCTCAGGCCCAAAAGCTTGTCCAACAGCTCTCCCAACTATACAGCTGGTCCAATAAAAGATATCAAAAAAATCCTTGAGTCTCAGACATTTCCTGGATCATCACTGCTACAACTTTCCAGTTCTTCGTTCTTGCTCTCACCTGCTTAGCCAAGAAAGGAACACATGCTTTCTGGGCCTTGTTAATGTCCTGGGTAATCTGACATTTCATACTAAAATATATTAAACAATATTTATCAATCAGTGTCACATTAGGGGCACTGCAGCTTGTCACAACCCAGTGATTTTGGTGCCTCGGCACGATGGAATTTTCCCGCCACATGAGAGCCTCTTGCACAGCAAAGGTTTTGTTGCAACAGAAAAACCCCGGTGCAAGAGAGTTCCCGCCATTTGAATGCAAATTTGTGTCCTGCTATTGGCCAGTTCTAAATTATTCCTACGTGGCGGCTAGTAATTGGGTTTGTTGGCCATTTAAAATTTTGGCGACTTCCGCCCAAGTCGGAGAACTTTGAGCACGCTGCAGAGTGCCTCTAAAGAGATCTGACTTGCGGCTGAGTTGATCGATAGACTGATCACCTATCGATTCTTCTCCCCGTCGCCGAGCGCAATCCCCGACGTACCCTTTCCCCGCCGGCTTGATTTGTGGACGGACGAGCTAGCTTGAGCCCTGCCAGCTGGAACAAATAACATAGTTGTTCAGACGACTGGACCGTCTGCGTCGCAGCTACAAGCGGCGTAAGTAAAGTTTTGCAACCATTAAGCTTTGTCTACCTCTCTATTCACCAGCCCACCCAACGAATGAGTAATTGTTGGATCACCTCGAGTCGGCTCTTGCCGTCCGAGACACAGCTGAACTAATCGCTTACACTTTCTTGAGCATGTTAAACACTTCTCATATCCTCTCAAGTCTCAGTTCTGAATGGTGAAATGCTAGTATAATCATACCCTGCATTGTATGTTGCTGTATTAAAGAAATTGAATACCTAAAAGTATTTCTGCCCTTTTGTAATGTTGCTTTCACATTTGAATATAGTCTACAGAGAATATTTTTTAATACTTTTGGAGATTTTCTTCCTAAATATCTGTGAAGAAACTTCCATCAATGTTGGAGGTCTGTTAGGTTTTTAAAAAATGTGGAATTGGTCATAGTCTGTGGAGCTGGCTGTCAATACCAATCAACTCGGAGACCAAAGTCAATAACTAAATGAATTTGGAAGTGCAGCTGTCCTCTCTGACTCCACCTCTTGTGTAAATGCAAGGTTTTTTTCACCAGAACTGTTGTTATACCACAGTTCCTTTAACATAAAGCTATTTTTTTCTAGTATCTTCTTTCTTTTAAAAAAATCTCTTGCACTACTGCACCTGTGCATCATTTTGCCTTACATTTGTTGTATGGCAGTGAGGTTTTTAAAACTTTTTTTTTTGCATAACAGCCTATGTGTGCAATGTGATATATTGAAGGGGTTGTTGCAGAAATTGTTCCAAGAGTTTTCAGTGGACAGGTAAGTCAGTGGTGCATCGGATTGAATTTGTTAACAAGCACCGTCTTCTATTTCCTACATGAATGTCATTGCCAAATTGTGTATAGCTAATGTAAAGAGTGTGTGGTATACACTAGTGTGCTAGGTCATGATAAAAAAAAAAAGTTCAGAATGGTTTTGGTCCTTCATAAATGGTGAAGCCACAACACTGATATCCACATTTTTCCTGAGAAGTGCCAAAACAACCTAATATTGGATCTTTTCTGACAGGACTATATATATAAACTACAAAAAATCTCTAATAAGGGAATTTTGTATTTCTTTTTGTGGAAACCTATGCATATTTTCCACATGCAGGATTCTAAGCACCTGTGCTGTTTTGATCAAGGACCTTTTGGAAAGCCATCCTTACTGAGGCTTGAGTGAATGCCAACCTATGGCACCACGCACTTGGAACTTGGGCTTGTATAAGAGAGGTGTGGACCTCTATTGGTTCAGATCCTTTCTGACTTTTACTTGCTGTGATCATATGGAACCTGACTGTGGTACATGGACTTACTTGGGGTATGGGCAGACATATAGGTGTTCTTCAAATGCTGCCCCATTTTAGAGCACTTCAGTACCCCACCCTACAAACATACAGGTCCATTCCAGCTAAAGTACTGTCGAATATTTGGGAATTTAAGCTGTTGCTGTGCTCAGACGTAATCCCCTGGGAGACGCTTCCAAGGGCTCAGGTATGCTGAAGCTTCTTCCAGTATTAGTAAATCCAGAGGTTCCACGCTTAAATAGCCTTGCTCTTCTACCTGGGTCAGACTGATCACCAAATTTAAGATCAGAAAGGATTTTTTCCCTAGGCCCCATTGGTCACATTTTCCCCTAGGTCTCTCATTGGTTGTGTGGTGGTCCTTTTTCTAGGCTCTTCTGAGCATATAACATATTTACT